ATGTGGTCATTATTCTGTTTTTTATCTCTTTCTTAAAGTGCGAGGCATTGCATTTCAGGACTTTTTACAATTTTTTTCACCTTCTTGTGAAATAAGTGATGATTATGTGTATAGATTTATTAACCGTACATTTCCATTGTGTTTAACAAATCATATGTGACATATACATATATAGCTGCTTTGAATAAATATATATATCATACTAAGCTTTTGAGCTCATTTTATGCTTGAATTTCTCGGAACGATGACAGAAATTGAGAGTGAAAAATTGACCAAATTTAAAGCCAATAGTAACATAATTGTGACTGGACAGTCACATGCTGGAAAATCAACATTTGTATTTTCTCTGCTGAAACATTTAAAATTATTTGAGTCGAACATTAAGCATATACTTTACGTTTTCGGAATATGGCAGCCATTATTTGATCGAATGGAGAGAGAAATTAGTTCCATTACGTTTTACCAAGGAATTCCGGATAAAGAAATTCTAGAAAGATATTCTAGCAAATATGGCAGCATTTTACTGGTACTGGACGATGTTATGGGGGTAGGAACAAGTAATGTAGAATTAATGAATTTATTTACAACGTATTCTCATCACATGGGTATAACTGTTATCTTCTTGCTGCAAAACATTTTTCCTCCTGGAAAGTACATGCGAACCATATCCTTAAATGCGCATTACATAATATTGTTTAAGAATCCGAGAGATGAGCGGCAAGTAAGGACATTAGGTAGTCAGATTTTTCCTAACCAATCAAAGTATTTCATGGATGCTTATAAGAAGGCAACTGAAGTTCCTTATTCATACTTGTGTGTGACATTGTATCCGGGTACAGCTGAGAGATATCGCTTATCTTCCAATATTTTTCCAGAGGAGGAAACAGTTTTATACTTACCAATGTAGAGTTATGTCTTCATCTATTAAAGATCATTTGGATTTTCTAAGATTGCTAGCGTTCACTCACAAGAAGCAAAGACTGCAATTACTTCGAACCATTAACGACAGCCAATTTGACATTTTGATAGAAGTCGTGTACAACATTCTTAAAGGTGTTTGTTCTCTGACTAAAGAAGAGGAGGAGAAAATAAAAAAACAAAGAACTCTTTTACGACAATTAATTGAAAGAAAAGTAGGTAAACGTGTTAAAAAAGATATTTTAATTCGTATTCAAAGTCTTATACCAACATTATTATCGTCTGTGAATAGATATCATAAATATCTGTTTAACAATGGCAAAAGAGGTTGTACTAGTTCCGAGAGAAAAATATCAGAAATTGCTGGAAGGCCGCGAGATGATTCAAAAAAATCAGAGCGAGACATACAACTTAAAAACGAATGAGGATTGCAAAGAGAAGAAAGGAGTCAGTGAGCTGAAAGACATTAACATAAAAAGTGTTTTGGTGAACAAAAAAGTGTCAAATCCTGATACAGAGCACGAAGACACGGGAGTTAACCAACATCGCAATAAAAGAAAGTTGAATGATCTGAAAGATACTGACACGGAAAGCGCTTTTGAGAACAAAGAGATGACACATTCTGATAGTGATCTTGAGAAACCGAGTGCTAATCAGAGTGTAAAGTTAGAAAATACTGACATACAAACCGATAAGTCGGATGACAACTCCACACAATTAGCTGTACGCAGTACGACTGCAAACATCACAAATCGTCAGAAGGCATCTACAAACAAAAGAAAGACGTTTAGAAAAAAATGGTTGAAATATAAATGAAAACTTATGGATCGGAGTGATAAATTATTCCATTGCACGGATTGCAAGAAGAGTTACAAACGCAAATCAGACTTAAACAGACACTATAGGTCAAAGCAGGAAAAGATCGTATGTCCTATTTGTGATCACCATTTTAACAGAAAGGATAATTTTAAAACTCACTATCGGCGATTTCATAAAGCTGCATCCAGTATCCAGCTTGGGGGTAATAATCAACCTTCATCATCAACAAAAATTAAAGAACAACAGTCGTCATCCCAATCGGGAGAAACGAGTGACACTGAAGCTCAAATTTCTGAGGAATTGCAAGAGAAAGAACCTGAAAACAATGAACATGAAATTACACAGTCAATTAATGATCAAGTAACTTCAATCAAAATTAAACCGAGAGAGATGGAAAAATTTGATCTTCTTGTGTTTTATTCTAACATTAAAGATAAAATCCAGGAGTTAATTATCTCGCACTCACCCGTGAGGAAGGGATTAAAATGGTATCTTGTAACAAGGGTGGAATTCACCCGTGAAAGGGAGGGTCAGGTAGAAAAGGCCTTACCTCATTTTCGTAGCATCACTTATAGACATTTAACCTCAGAAGAATTTAATATTCATTTTCTAAACGAATCCTTTCAAAAAATGTTTGCAGCAAAAGAAGAATTCATCATGAAAGGTTCCGACTGGATTTTTTCCAAAGTGATTTACGTTGAATTATGCTACGTTGTATACTCTCCATTGAAGGGCGGAACTTATATTAAAGAACCGAGCGAACTACGAAATAGCAAATCATTGGTGAACATAAAAAATAAAGATCAAAAATGTTTTTTGTACTCAGTTTTAGCAAAACTTTATCCTGCTAAGCGCAATCCCTCGAGAGTAAGTCATTACCGCGCATACGTTAACAAAGTAAACATGCGAGGTATTCACTATCCTGTTCATGTCACACAAATTTCAAAATTTGAAAATCAAAATAATATTTCCATAAATGTTTTTGGATATGAAGATAAGGAGATATTTCCAATGCGCATTACAAAATTGAAAAAAAAATCACATGTCGATTTACTGTATTTAAAAAATAAGGATAATTTCCATTATTGCTTAATCAAGAATCTAAATCGATTTCTCTACCGGACAGAAGGTGGAACATCTCATCATTCACATCACTACTGTCCTTATTGTTTACATGGATTTGTAAAAAGAGACACTCTGAATAAACATGTCGACTTTTGCATGTCTCTTGGTGAACAAAAAATAGAGATGCCATTACCTGGAGAAAACGATGTGTTGAAATTTACTGATATTGCAAAACAACTTCGTGTACCATTTGTCATTTACGCTGATTTCGAAACATATGTCAAACCCATTCAAACATGTGACCTTGATCCAAATTCTTCACACACCTGCAATATTTCTGAATTTGAACCTTGCGGATTTGCTTATCATATTATTTCAACGGACAAACGGTATACTAAACCGCCAACTGTATATCGAGGGAATGATATCGTGGAGACGTTTATGACTCGATTACTCGAAGAAGAAGAAAGAATTATCCATTTGTTGCATAGGATAGAACCTATGCAAATAAACAGCATCATTGAAAGTGAATTTCATAGAGCCTCACATTGTCATTTATGTGGATTAAAATTTGAAAAGAAGCACGATAAAGTAAGAAACCATGATCATATAACTGGTAAATTTTTCGGTGCTGCACATAGAAACTGTAATTTACAGTTCAAGCAAGTAGAATTTATACCTGTTATATTACACAATCTTAGGGGATTTGACGCTCATCTTATCATGCAGCGACTAGGAAAATTTAAGAAAAAACGCATCAATGTCATTGCCAATACTAATGAGCGATACGTCTCCTTTACAATTTCCAAGTTACGTTTCATTGACTCTTTTCAATTTCTTACTACGTCTTTGGACATTTTAGTGAAGAATCTTAAATCTAGTGGTGAACAACATTTTCATCAATTCAATGAATACTTTCCCCCCGACAAAAGAAAACTTTTATTGAAAAAAGGAATATACCCATATTCATTCATTACAGACAGTTCAAAGTTTTTAGTGAATGAATTACCCCCCAAACACGAATTCTACAATACAATACGCAAGTGTCACATCACAGATGAAGAGTATGAACATGCTAAAGAAGTGTGGAGGGTAATGGATATCCAAACAATGGGTGAATATCATGATCTGTATGTACTTTGTGACGTGCTACTTTTAGCAGATGTGTTTGAACGATTCAGAAGCATATCCATGAAAAGTTTTGATTTAGATCCAGCACAGTATTACACTCTCGCCGGCATGTGCTGGAGTGCATGTTTGAAAATGACTGGAGTTGAATTAGAATTACTGACTGACATAGAGCAATATCAGATGATTGAAAGGGGTGTGCGTGGTGGTGTTGCAATGATGACATTACGTTACGCTGAAGCTAACAACCCTTATATCGGGAAAAGCTATGACCCAAGCAAACCAAATGTTTACTTAGGGTATTTTGATATGAATAACTTATATGGAGGGGCTATGGTTGAAGCCCTACCAGTAAGAGATTTCCACTGGCTGACTGCAGAAGAAATATCGAAGCTTGAAATCATAAATATAGAAAAAAATGCTAAAACGGGATATATCTTAGAGGTAACTCTTGAGTATCCAAGTCATCTGCATGATTGGCATAATGATCTCCCATTAGCACCAGAGTCGTTATCAATCAGAATTGAAGATTTGTCACCTCACTGCCAAAAACTGTATAACTGTCTTCATAAACAAAAAACTGAAGGAGAAATTTCAAGAAAACTTGTTCCTACACTCAGAGCAAAGGAAAAATACGTTGTTCACTATAGGAATTTACAATTCTATCTTCAGCATGGACTTATTTTGAAGGAAATACATCGAGTAATAAGCTTTGAACAAGAAAATTGGCTAAAACCCTACATAGAATACAACACTAAAATGAGACAACAAGCACAGAATGACTTTGACGTTTCTCTTCACAAATCTTACAACAATATCGTTTTTGGGTAAGTTCTCTTGAAAATTATGATAAATTGTAAAATGATCAATGATAAATGATATGATATCGTTACAAAATTTTTAATCTTTCAGGAAAACCATGGAAAACATAAGAAATAGACTGAATTTTAACTTAGTTCACACAAAAAAACGACTGCAAAGATTGGTTAGTAAACCAAGTTTTGAGAGTTTTAGCATCTTTAATGAGGATCTAGTAGGAGTGAAAAACAAAAAGGTGAAACTTTTGCTGAACAAACCAATCTACACTGGGATGAGCATATTGGATCTTTCCAAGCTCTTCATGTATGAATTTCATTATGGCTTCATCAAAAAACAATATGGGGAAAAAGTAAAGTTACTGATGAGGGATACTGACTCTCTGTTCTACAGGTAAAATATAATTATGTTCTTGTGACGCATTTTGATATCTGTGTAAGGCGGATATCGTTCTTGTTTTACTTTCTATTTTAAATTATTTTGTAGATTTGAAGTTGAAGACATGTACAAAGAGATAAACAAATATATTGATTTGTTTGATACGTCAAATTATCCGAGAGATCATTTCCTGTTCAGTGAAAAACACAAGAAGGTTGTTGGTAAAATGAAAGATGAAACTGCATCTCATCCAATCCTTGGATTTGCTGGATTACGACCCAAAATGTATTCATTCATTGTTTACGATGAGAAAAAAACTCAAGTGAAAAAAGCGAAAGGAATCTCCAAATCAGTAGTAAACAAAGAATTGACCTATCAGAACTATGTGAATTGCCTTTTGAGCAGTAAATTAGAGAGACATACAATGAACTCTATAAGGAGTGATAATCATAATCTGTTTCTTAAAGCCATCAACAAAATTTCCTTGTCCTCATTTGACGACAAACGTTGGTGGTTGGAGCCTAACGGTATTGAAGGATTTTCTTATGGACACTATGCGACCAAAGGTCAAATCAATGAATAAACTGTACAATATGTATTTTGATTAAATTTATTAGTATATGGAATGTAAACATGTATTTAAGATTGAGAAGTTTGATACAAATCTTTGAAATAAACATAAAACCTTCATTCCAACAATTTTCTTTAGACAATATACTAATACTTTGACATACAGTAAATAATTAAGCGAAATCCCTTAAATGGAAATTAATTAACAAGGATGCAAATAACAAGTACACAGCTGGGATAGTAACAATAAAAGTCAGTAATCTTAAAATCATATACTTTAAATTTGATGGAGAAATTTTTCAAGTTTTGCAATTGATTTAAATGAGTAAAGGAATAAAGCATGAAATTGTTTACAATAGTTCTATAAATATCGCGTTTTCGTTGCAGAGTCTATTGAAAGTATAAAACGGAAGAGTTTATATCAAGAAAGTATACACGTATTATGATTTGCTTAAGATTTATCAATACTGTGTTAAAATATCTTAATATTTTGACTTTGCTATCCTTAAAGGGTTAAATATGTTGAAAATTAGTTTTCTTCCATAATTTAAAATCAAATTTATAATATACAACTGAATTGATAAATCTTAATATACAATTAAATGAGTACATAAAAGGGTAAAGTAATAGAAACTCAACCAAGTCGGAAGTAAGCTTCATATATTATAACATTAGGTCAAGAATAAAAAAGTGTTTGTTTGCAATTGTCAACCTGTAATTTTAAGAGTGGGTATTTAGGTATTTTTAATTTTTTTTCAATAATAATAAAAAATATTAGTTTTCTGGTTTCAGTTGGATAACAAATAATAGGTTAAAAAAGTTTGAATCGGATGTATTTTAAGTGCTTCGGTAGGCAACTGCAAACAAACTTTTTAATTTTGACCTTATTAAAGCTTAACAATGAAAATCCATGACACATAGATAGTAATAAATGTCAGCCATACGATTTGTGATTATTTCTAATTGTTGTTTGTCTATGTTAAGTTCTCTCTTTTTTTATCGATTCCTTCCAGAAGAACATCTGCTGACGACTTAAGTTTAACTGTCTCATTGTGCAATTCCACCACGCAGGAATGCCGCAAAGAGTGGATGTAACAAATGTCAGCCATACGATTTTTGATTATTTCTAATTGTTGTTCGTCTACGTCAACTTCTCTTGTTTTTTTATCGATTCCTTCTAGAAGAACATCTGCTGATGACTTAAGTTTAACCGTCTCATTTTTTAATTCCACCACGCAGGAATGCCTCAAAGATTGGATCTTGTTAAAATAATTAAAAATAGGGTGAGGGTAACTTCTTCCGCTTCTTGGGTCGAGTATTCATTATTCTTGGTTAACATATTAATTCTTGAGTAAATATTTCTAACTACAGTAGATGGTCATGAATCTTAAAAAGTTGCCCCATCTTCGTTATCGTCTGATTCAACTATAGTAACTTTCCTTTTTTTTGGCACGCTGATTCTGAGCTATATTAAAAAAAAAAGCGGATAACACTTGTGGAATTTTGCCTATCCGACATATGTGTATATCAACTGTATGGATTATCTAAACGGCTATCTATATCATCGTCTAAACATGAAGACAAAATTCAAGAAAACTTACCATTGGAGGACTCGGAGGTTGTAGACTTTTTACAAAGTCTCTTACTGCCGAAATCTCTTCCCCCAAACCTGCCATTGCCAGCATGACCTCCTCAGGGAGGGAAGTTGATGTTCCCCTTGCATTATCTGTCAGGAGAAAACAGAAAAAGAAATATGTTGAAATTCCATATTAAAGCCTTATCAGGGACGTAATATCACTTTAATCTGATCTGAATTCAATAATGGATATATTAATGATATAACAGGTAAACGTAAATGTTTTACATGGTGACGGATCCATACTTTAGAAAAAAAAAAAGAAAAAAAAGAGTGGTATCAAAGTACCTAATAATTTAATAATTATGAGTATTTTTTAGTTTCAGTTTTCTGGATAAATTGCCATAAAACAAAGCTTTATTCAATAAGGTTTAAACTTACTTTGAATGTGGAAGTAGACCTTCCTGTTGTAATAGGACATCTTGATGGAGTACTGTCCTTTCCTAATTCTCAAAGAATCATTCTTCTCTATAACAAACATTGGGGTTTCACCATCATCATCAATTTGTTGTGAGAAGACGGCTTTTACATTCGAAGCCATGACTGCTTTTAGATGCGCTGTATTTGAACTTTGTTATATATATATATGTTTATACTCGGTCTAATTACCCTTTCAATAATAAATTTTGGTTGAAAAGTTCAAAATACAGTAAACAACTATTGTCTTGTAAAGAAGTAAACAGCTAAAGTCTTGCAAATTTTGTGACTAGATTTTGATTACTCAGCATATGATATATACATTTTGGTTGAAAAGTTCAAAATATAGCAAACAACTTTTATCTTGTAAAGAAGTAAACAACTATAGTCTTGCAAATTTGTGACTCTTGATTTTGATTACTTAACATATGTAAGGAAGTGTGTTGTAAATTTCCCTGTTGTTCGTGACGTTTGTCTCTATTTCTTTGATTAAGTATTATGCAAACGTGAACCATTTCCTTACTTTGCATGGACTAACTAAGGCAGAGTTCATAGGTTGCTGAAATTTTATGCTAATGTCAGACTTCGAACTTTTTATATTTATGAATTACAACTGATAAAAATTTGATATGATAGATATTTTTACACAATCAAGTTTTTAATGTATGTAATAACTTCTCGACCATTGACTCGTCCTTGAAAACGCAGTACTGTCTTTTTAAGTTATAACTCCGGATGATAAACATTATTCAGTATTACAATTACAATTGAATCTTTAATTAAAGCTAAATATAATGATAATTGAAAGATTGTAAATTTAGAACTTTGAGCGTTTATTCTATTAATAAAAGAATCAAACAAAGCATATAAGGTCTAAATCGTAAAAATTAAATGGAAATGAGCACACACATACGCAGTTTTTAAAAAGTCTTTTTTAAATTGAAACAATAAAATCGGGCTCGAAATTCATTATTCGAAGAAACGCGCGGAAGAAAATGGTGACCATGATCAAGTCCATGAAGTTCACACTCACAGAAATCCTAATCGACATATTTATGATATTGTTTGTACATGTGCAAGCAAAACTGCTGGATTCCGTTTGTGATTTTAGCGGTAGATGCGTGTGGGATGGTGGTGGGTGGTACAGGGGGTGCATTGATGACACCCCCTTTCTTTCGTTTGACCGCTTTGACAGTGATGGAATTTTGGACCTCCGGTGTACACATAGTGTTCAAGTTGTTTCTATTGAAATTACAACATTAAGTTGCAGGGACATGGATCAACATGTCATTACAAACAACGATATTACATTTTATTTGGGAGAGTCCAAAACCGAATGTGTAAGCAATTTATTATGTTCTTCTGAAATGAATGATAGGGGGGGGGGGGGGGGCATGTAGCATTTCTTTGTGGTAACTAATACATGTAGACATGATAGAGTTTGATTAATTTCTGAACAACAATTTTGCAGCATGTCTCTTCCTCCTCGACTGAGACCTCCCGCCCCATCGATATCCAGAGCACCAGCATCAGTGAGGTAAACAAATGAATAATCGGTTTCTTTGTGTAAGAAATAAACATGATATAAATAAAGTTAGACTAATTTTTGAATTACAATTTTTGCAGCAGGCCTCCGAATCTGACACCGTCCGTCCTACCACACCGCTGACTAGGGGCACAGGGAATAGTAAGGTAAAGAAAATGAATAGATCATTTCTTTGAGTATCTGATAAACATGGTAAAGTTAGACTAATTTCTGAATTACAATTTTTGCAGCATGCCTCCAAATCTGACACGGTCCGTCCCACCACACCGCTGACTAGGGGCACAGGGAATAGTAAGGTAAAGAAAATGAATAGATCATTTCTTTGAGTAACTAATAAACATGGTAAAGTTAGACCAATTTCTGAATTACAATTTTTGCAGCATGCCTCCAAATCTGACACCGCCCGTCCCACCACACCGCTGACTAGGGGCACAGGGAATAGTAAGGTAAAGAAAATGAATAGATCATTTCTTTGAGTAACTAATAAACATGGTAAAGTTAGACTAATTTCTGAATTACAATTTTTGCAGCATGCCTCCAAATCTGACACGGTCCGTCCCACCACACCGCTGACTAGGGGCACGGGGAATAGCAAGGTAAAGAAAATGAATAGATCATTTCTTTGAGTAACTAATAAACATGGTAAAGTTAGACTAATTTCTGAATTACAATTTTTGCAGCAGGCCTCCAAATCTGACACCGTCCGTCCCACCACACCGATGACTAGGGGTACAGGGAATAGTAAGGTAAAGAAAATGAATAGATCATTTCTTTGAGTAACTAATAAACATGGTAAAGTTATGATACTACAGTTTAATTTTATTAAAATTGTAATTTTTATTATTTTACACATCTTGCACATAAATTGAAGATTTCTACAGAAGCATCAGCCAGCTCAACTAAAGGAATTGTAGACCCATTGTCTACACCTACTGTAAGTCTATGTTAAGTATTGTTTAGGTAATGGATATGCTTTGTTATAAACCCCCCCCCCCCCAATAATAATAATTTAAATTCTTTAGAGTAAAGAACAAGTGGTACAAACTATTTATATGCTTCAAAGTTAGTGAACAGTAGATTGAAAATATCCCTCTGTAAGGAGATTTATCACTTTGTAGTTGGATGGATTAGACAGTGGTGAGACGCACATGCATGAGATGAGCACCTTCATGACCATTGTATTAAGTAAGTATTATTCAAGAAAATATTAGTCTATAGTTACTATACATATTGAAAAATATTTTTAAATTGATTTGAAAGATACATGTTGTATAAAAATGTATTAATATTAACTCATTTACATCATCAATAGCATGGTAAGAAAACATAGTATAGCTTCACTGTCATCCCACAGTGTGTGCTTTCATGCCTTATTGTAGAAACTTGCTTAGCTATTGTAGTATGCATGATCTCT